GGGTGGGTGTGGGTGTGTGGGTGTGGGTGTGTGGGTGTGGGTGTCGGTGTGGGTGTGGGTGTGGGCGTGGTTGTAGGTGAGGGTATGGGTGTGAGTGTGGGTGTGGGTGTGGGTTTCTCTTCTTCGATCACCAGCACCCACACCCCACGCCCATACACTCTAAAAAAAATTCGTACCCTAGGCAACCCTTACAGGGTTTCCGAATTTGTTACTATCGGAAACCTTTAAAAGGTTTCTGAGAAAAGGTTTCCGAGGTCTCGGAAACCCTATCTTCCAATATTTTAACCCCATACCACATCCATGCAGGGAAACCCTAAAACCGTTTCCGAGCATTTTTCAAAACACATAAATATCTTACTCCACTTTATTAAAATAACCCTTCAATAACCCACATACTTACAAACGTACAGCACCACTCCGAAATATTGATTCATGTCCTCAAACATCTAAACAGAAAAAATGACTAGATGAAATTAAACAAAATGAATCTATTTATCTGAAAGTTAAAATTGACATTGATCAGGATCCAAATAGAGAAAGAAAATGATTAGATTAGATAAAACTAAATTAATGGATTCACCTGAAAGTTAACATAGATATTCATGAAGATCTAAATATAGAAAGAAAATGATTAGATTAAATTAAACTAAATCAATCAATTCACCTGAAAGTTAAAATTCACATTGATCAAGATCTAAATATAGAAAGAAAATTATTAGATTAAATGAAACTAAATGAATCTATGTATCTGAAAGTTAAAATTGATATTGATAAAGATCTAAATACAAAAACAAAATGATTAGATTAAATCAAACTGAATCAATGGGTTCACCTGAAAGTTAACATTGATATTGATGAAGATCTAAATATAGAAAGAAAATGATTAGATTAGATCAAACTAAATGAATCTATTTCTCTGAAATTTAAAATTGACATTGACGAGGATCTAAATATAAAAAGAAAATGATTACATTAAATCAAACTAAATCAATGGATTCACCTGAAAGTTAACATTGATATTGATGAAGATCTACATATAGAAAGAAAATG